TCATCCCTCAGTACCTCTCTTCCCATTGGCTCAAAGTAGTTCTCCCTTGGTGCATTTCTCCGTCTTGGCTGAAATTGGTCTTCACTTTCAAAATACTCAGCTCTATCATCAGGGTCCTCATAATAGGGATCTCTCTTTGGATATTGCCCAAGATTTGGTAGTGGTGTAGCTTGTTGACCCCCTCTCTAAGCCGAAGAGGTTCCTCATTTTCATCGTTCACTTAGTCCTGCACTCCTTAAAGTCTCGGCTGTGACCTCGTCTGGATGTTCAACTCTACTTGGTGAAGTCATCCCTTCTATTAAGTTCTCTTGGTTGCGGGCTGGCTTGTTTCTTCGTCTAACTATTGCGTTAATTTCGTGGTCAATTGCTAGCAAGCCATACACACCTTTTGAACGGGTTTGCAGGGAACTAGCTATTCACCTACTAGCTATTGCACACCTTTCGTCTAACTAGCTCTTTTTTTTTTTTCTCTCTTCTTTAATTTATTTCTTTCAGTGTAAGCACATAATTAAGCCTATTTTTCTACATAACAAAGATGAATGTGGGTCATGTCTAATATATATATATATATATATATATATATATATATATATATATATATATATATATATATATATTTTATGCATTAATGAATGTGTTCATAATTTGAGCGCAAACAAAACCAACACGAATACACATCTTTAAAACATTGCACAATATGTAAGTGGACACACCATAACACATGTGTGCACATATGAACCCAAAGACAATAACAAACAACGACTTGACATAAATGATGACATGCACACTAATAAATAAACAGTGTACACGATGCCCAATTCAATGCACACTAGAACCAACATACTTGGTGTAAATTCGTGAAACTTGAAGGAAAGAAACTTAGTTGGTTCCTACTCAATTTTATACAAATTAATTATCTAAGTTATAACCTGTGTCAGACATAGTGACGAACAAGAAATAAAAGCAGATAAAAGAACCAGGAACGTGTGATGTGTTTACGCAGTTCGGACAAACTTTCTCGTACGTTTGCGGGGTCAATCAAAAGTAAAACCCAACTCCACTAGATGATCACAAAGATTAGACACGACTGAGTTAATTTTCCATACACATTATGGTATAATCAATCACACCAAACCCAATCTTCATCATCTACTAAGTTGGTAGGAATCTTGGAATCAGTGTTCCTGCAGGTCTTCATTTTTCTAAACCAATGAGAGACTCCACGCCTCAATAGAATACAACCCTTTCAAAATTCAGCACTTCTTCATCATCTACTCGGCGCGTATCTCGTCGCCCCACGTGATCTTCTTAACAAATCGCCTAAAGATGTCCTCATATCTTCTGTACTTAGAGGTGTTCAATCGGTTAACCGAAGTTTTTAAAGCTTTAACCGTTAACCGAACAAAACTTCGTATTACCGAATTAACCGAACCGAAGTTTTTTTGGTTAATCGGTCGGTTAACCGATTAACCAAACTTTTTTAAACTAAAGTTTTTCCAAAAGGTTGAACCCCAAACCTAAGATTAAATCCTAAAAATAATACCTGAAAATATACAAAATCAATATCATAATAACATTACAAATTTAGATGGATTTGAGATATTTTATATATATATATATATATATATATATATATATATATATATATATATATATGTGTGTGTGTGTGTGTGTGTGTGTGTGTGTGTGTGTGTGTGTGTGTACATACATACATATAGGGATGCACTCAGGTGCGAATAAGTGTCAGGAGGGAATATGTGAACGAATCCGCGCGCGACACGTGTCTAGATCTAATATATTAAAAAAAATACGATGGTATTCTCGTAAATAATTGAACATCGAAGTGCAAGTAAAATCACTTACAAGTGCACCTACTTTCACTTATAAGTGCATTTAATTTTGCCTTGTTAACATTCACTTCCCGCAAACATTCATGCACCTGGGTGCACCTACTTATAACTATAGGTGCAACTACTTATAACTATTGGTGCACCTACTTCACCTATAAGGGCATGTAACTTTGCCTTGTTAACATTCACTTCCCGCAAACATTCATGCACCTAGGTGCACCTACTTATAACTATTGGTGCAACTACTTATAACTATAGGTGCACTTAGTATTGATGCTCAGTGTAAATTTCACTTGCACCTATAATACATTTTACATGCACTTGTAATACATTTTACTTGCACTTCGATGTTCAATTATTTACGAAAATGCCACCGCATTTTTTTTAATCCATTAGATATGGACATGTGTCGCGCGCTGATTCGTTCGCTTATAAGTGCATTTAATTTTGCCTTGTTAACATTCACTTCCCGCAAACATTCATGCACCTGGGTGCACCTACTTATAACTATAGGTGCAACTACTTATAACTATTGGTGCACCTACTTCACCTATAAGGGCATGTAACTTTGCCTTGTTAACATTCACTTCCCGCAAACATTCATGCACCTAGGTGCACCTACTTATAACTATTGGTGCAACTACTTATAACTATAGGTGCACTTAGTATTGATGCTCAGTGTAAATTTCACTTGCACCTATAGTACATTTTACATGCACTTGTAATACATTTTACTTGCACTTCGATGTTCAGTTATTTACGAAAATGCCACCGCATTTTTTTTAATCCATTAGATATGGACATGTGTCACGCGCTGATTCGTTCGCATATTCCCTCATGGGCGCTTCATTCGCACCTGAGTGTAATTATATATATATATATATATATATATATATATATATATATATATATATATATATTCAAAATTTCGGTTAACCGAAGTTTCGAACTATTAAATCGAACCGAAAAAGTTCGGTTAAAAAACGATTAACTGAACTTTGTTGGTTCGGTCGGTTAACTGAAAATTTACCTAAATTTGCACACTCCTATCCGTACTGGTCCAAGTCCCTTAAGGGGTCGTCCACGCTGCCTTTCGGCAGGCTGCCTTGCTCAATCGTTTACCCGTACTTCCTCCCCGACTATTCCTAGCACTCGATGCGCCCTCCGGACGACTCCACGTCTTTTACCTTCCAGTCGAGCCTTCGCCCCTAGTTCCTCGACTATCCTTCTGATTACTAACCACTCTTTTCCGGCTACCAACCGATTGCTAGGTGGCCCGCGCGACTACTCATGGCACTCACCCAGTTTCCTGACTGGCTGGACATCTCTCTCGGTTGGCCGCCGGACCGGATACCCGGAGAACCTGTGGTAGGAACCATGCTTCAGGTGAGAATCTGTGGACAAATGCAAACCATTGATCTAGTAGATCTAACGATTGAAAATAAACAAAACTTTGTAATATTTATGAAAATGACTCCGTTCATTTTTTACTTGATTTTCCATCCATGAGATCTTGCAGATCAATGGTTTGAATTTATTCACAAGTTTTCACCTGGGAAGTGGTTCTCATATGATTAGGATTCTTAATCAGATAAGAACCATGCTCAAGTGAGAAACTGTGAACAAATCCAAACCATTGATCCATGGTTTAAAATAATTCATTATCCTTGTCAACATATTTTCCTTATTCTTGTCAATAAAATTAGTTTTTATAGCAATACTTTTAAGTTGTCATAACAATTTATCAATAATTTTATTTTCTTTTTCCCAAACTGACACAGAAATCGAATGAATTTTTAAAAAAATAAGAAAATGTAGAAAACAAAATCGTTTCCTATAAACATATGAAGTTCATTTAAAAAAAAAAAAAAATCCATTTGAATTTCATGTCAATTTGTGAAAAAAAAAAAAAAAAAAAAATTATCAATTTTTTTGATTGCTTGAAATATTACTTTAAACACTAATTTTGTTGACAGTATATGAAAAAGGGAAATGTTGACATGGACAATCAATTTTCTAAAAGGATGTAAAAATGATAAAAAGAAAAATATAATAATGCCACACATAAGTGAAGTGACATATAACTAACTTGAAGAACCAGTCATTTTAGTATAATAACATGATTTTAACTTGTTTAATGGTGTGTTGTATATTTTTTGGTGGACTAATTGTAATTCTATGGGTCGTTTCATGGTTTATTTGACTGTTTTTTCTTTAAAAAAAAATGGAATGGATAAGCATGTATTAAGAATGATGCGAGATGCGTGGTTATGGTCCTATGCTCCTAGCTAGCCAGTTTAGTGCGGGGATTTTATAAACGTGCCTATCAGTTTATGGCTTTTAATTTGCTTTAAGCAGTGTCTACTTTAACTCTAATTATTTATTGATGCAGACGGCCGCTTAAAGACGCTGATTAAGGAGTAGTGCTGCATGTCTCATGTTTATAATTACGCAATTATAAGTGCTTAATTCTCTTTAATCTACGACCAACTAATTCCCCTATGTAATCATATGCATGTATCATTGTCACTCATTTTATTATTAGCCTTATGATAAGTAATCTAGGCTAATTTAGCTTCCTGAATGACTGCACATGTTTAATTCACTGGTTTATATTCTTTGTGCAACTTGACAATGTGAAATTATGTCCAAAGTAGACATATTTTTTGTACACACTAACATTTGACCATGTATGATAAATCACATAATTACCCTGATGAGATTATGCCCAAAGTGGACATATTATAAAATTATGCCCAAATGGACAGAATCACTGAATTACCCTGATGGGATTATGCCCAAAGTGGCCAGATTATGGAAATCACTGAATTACCCTGATGGAATTATATCCAAAGTGGACAAATTATGAATTTATGTCCAGATTATATAGATTATGGATTTATGCCAATATTTCTTGTGTGCATTGGCATTTAACCATGTCTGCTAAATCACTGAATTACCCTGATTTATATTCTCTCAATTGTTCTGTCGGGTCCAAGTGCCGGGGACCTTTGGAGTTCGAGATTTAACTTTTGGGACAAGACTTTTTTAACAAATAAAAAATGATACCAAGAAAACATGTATAAGGTGGAATTAATTAAAAGTTAATGCACTCACAGTTTTTTTTTTTTTTTGTTGGGTAAAACAGAGTGAGGTTAATTATCAGGGATTATATTAATTAACACTGAAATTATGATATTAATTAATGATGATACCACACCTGATCTAACTCTACATGTTTTTACTCTACTGACTACTGGGGGCAGTCTATGGATAACAACAACTAGTGATATATATAAGCTACTGTTTTGATATGTAACGGTCGCTCAGCCGTTGTGCGTTACGATCTCCCCCATTTCCATGGAAGACTCGCTGCTCTGCGCCGCCGTCCTGTCTTCGCCGGAGTCCTCTTTGCTCTTGATATACATGCCGTAGACGTAGGAGCAAAACCCCCAAACGCAGAGCGCGGTGGAGATGGCCTTGGAGCCGCCGAAGTGGTCGCTGTAGACGAGAACGCCTCCGAGGACGTTGATGGCCATGAGCGCCGTCATGCAGATCCCGCCGGTGAGGGACGTGGTGAGGAACACCATCCCGGCGGTGCCCATGAAGCAGAGCTGCCACGTCACCAGGTTGAACGCCACCGTGAGGCAGTAAGCCCTGGGCCCCAGGTCGAATTTCCGGTGCATCTCCGCCTTCATTTCCCCGAACCCACCGCTGGCAGCCATCCCCACCAAGGAAAAAGCGGTGGCCGCCACCTCCATCACCAGCTGCATTTCCACCACCATGGCGTAGCAGTAGACCTTGGCGTATACCCTCTCCATTACCGGCAAATACAGGGCGAAGAGCAGCCCGGCCCCAACCGTGGAGAAGAACCCGAAGAAAAACTTGGGCCGAGTCAGCCCCTCGGGCTTGTCATGGCCCGAACTAAGAGCCAACAAAACCGAACTGAGAGTCAAAAGGATAACACAGTTAAGATTGGCGAATGTGAGTTTCTGCTTCACGATAATCATGGAGGTGATGAGAGTGAAGACAAGCTGAGTAGAGAGAAGCAAGGAGTTTGTTGAAACGGGGAGATAAGAATTCCCCCATGAAAACAGGAGGTTGTTGAGGCCTAACAAGAGCCCAATAATCATGGACACGACGAAAATCTGCGAGGTGAACCGGGAGAAGGGGCGGCGTTGGGTGGACTGAAAAACATAGTAAGGGAGGAAGACGGCGGGGAGGAGGAGAGGGAATCCGGCGGACTGGACTAAAGTGGAAACCCACCTGCTAGAGCCCTTATGGTTAAAATAGAACTTTGAAAGGAGGCTAGAAGACACTGACCCCACGAACAGAAACATGTAATTGATTCCTAGGAGAACCAAGTAGCGTTTGCTGCCTCTTCTTCTGTCTTCTCCTTCATGCATTGGGTTCTCGCCGCCGCCAAAGTGGAGCAAGAATTTATTGCTTTCTCGCCGGCGGTGAGAGTCGGACAGCGGTGGTTGTTTAGGCGGCGGCGCTGCACCAGAGAAAGCCATTAAAGAAGAGTGAGGAGAATCTGATGATGGATGGATGCTGGCAGCTGGCAGCTGGCCGGCGAGACTATAGCTATACATCACTACATCTATCTATATATATAGAGAGACGGATTTTAGGTGGCTAGTTCTATTTCCGATATTCTTTTTATTTTGACGGAATTTTTAGTTTATTTTAACTTTGGTGATCAGGTTTCGAGTTTTGTCAAATTAATTCTAAGTCATAGGACTCGTTCCTAGAGCTACTGCAAAAGTAAATAGTGAGTCAAGCAGTCAACTAATTAATGAGTCAAGTTTTATTTTTTATGTGTGCAAAAGAAATCCAATTCAGATTTATCATCATCCTTGGATGTTTTTGTAATCATAACGTTTAAGTTAGGCGACGAACCAACTAAGTTAAATTTTAAAATAATTTTTAATTTAGTTTAGTTTGTGAAAATATATACACCGAAAAATCTATAAGCTATTTGGTATTTTTGTGACTCTTCCAAATAGAAGATCACATACTCAAATTCTAGTAAGGGACATGCATTAAAATGATAACATTAAAATTTTGCGCAAGATGAGTAATATTTTCCTATATATGCATACAAAGAATCTCAATATTTTAACTACATCAATCCCCCGTCGGCCCACCTAAAGTAGGGTTACATGAATGACGGGGCCAGGAGGGGGGCCCACGAGTCAAGGTCAAAGCTAGAGACAAATGTCATTGTTTGTGGAACACAGATGTCACAGGGTGATAGAAGTAATTGAATAGGTTGGGCTTCTGTGAACATTTGACGCTCAACACTGATTCTCCCATTAAGAGGTTGTGTGGATCACTGTAATTAACTTTAAAATAATTTTACCAAAACTATATGGTCTAATGGTATTCGGGTGGACTTTTATTTGGAAGATTGTAAGTTTGAGTCTTATTAGTTCTTTGTGTTTCAGTAGGTTGAGAAAGTATATGAACAGATACTACATTGTAATAGAGCCCGTAACATCCAAAAAAAACTTTAAAATAATCTTATCATATCGAACTAAATTAAGAGATTGTATGAATCATTGTAATTAACTTCAAAATAATCTTATAAGATTAAAGTGAATTAAGAGGTTGTGTAGATCGCGGTAATTAACTCCAAAATAATCTTATTATATCGAAGTGAATTAAGAGGTTGTGTGGATCGTTGTAATTAACTTCAAAATAATCTTATAAGATTGAAGTGAATTAAGAGGTTGTGTAGATCGCGGTAATTAACACCAAAACAATCTTATCCCATATTGAAGTGAATTAAGGGGTTGTGTGGATCGTTGTAATTAACTTCAAAATAATCTTATCAGATTGAAGTGAATTAAGAGGTTGTGTATGTAGATCGTTGTAATTAAATCCAAAATAATCTTATCATATCGAAGTGAATTAAGAGGTTGTGTGGATCGTTGTAATTAACTTCGAAATAATCTTATAAGATTGAAGTGAATTAAGAGGTTGTATAGATCGCGGTAATTAACACCAAAATAATCTTATCATATCGAAGTGAATTAAGAGGTTGTGTGGATCGTTGTAATTAACTTCAAAATAATCTTATCAGATTGAAGTGAATTAAGAAGTTGTGTGGATCGCGGTAATTAACTCCAAAATGGTCTTATCAGATCAAAGTGTTAGTGTGAAGGCCTAAATGGGAGGGACGAGAGACTTCGCCTTTTGAGAAGGTAAAGAATTGATGAGAGGTAAGCAGAAATTTAAGAGATAGAGTTATGTTGTATCAAATATGATCTTATCGATCTTAATTGAGTTGAAGTGGTTGCTTATTTGACTTTTTGTACTTTTAACACTATAAGAGAGTTCCCCTCTTTCACGCTACCGTTACGATATCTTTAACGTTTTCACTCTCTTATTTTAATTCATCTATAAATGTTGATAACTGTGGTGAAATGTATTCTATTGAATACCAACTATGAATCCCCCTCTTGATTATTAATTGTTTGAGGAAATATGAATATTGGATACCATTATTTTCTTTTATCAATTTTGGATTTTTAAATTTATAAATTTTTTCTTTAATTTAAAAATTTCTTAATTGGCAGAACATAAGAAATGTGCTTATTTTTATTGATGGCAATTTAAAATATTAATTGATTTTTTAGTTTACCAGCTAGACCCGCCAATCTACCTGTGGTGGGCTAGATCCTAAAAATATCAACCCACAAACTGACCTGCCAAAGATCACAAAATATTTGACTTGGGTTGACACCCCTATTCCGCGGCAATTTATATCCTACACCACGGCGCGCGTTGCACTCGCAAATTATGCCATGGAATTATGTTCATCGAGAATGGTGAACACAAGGCAAAACGACGTCGTTTTTAGGCAAAAAAAAAAAAAAAAATCACGGATGTAGAGTTAACGGCGCGCGTTTGATCAAATTATGAATTTTCTGTTATGAGATTATGAATTTTATGAAAATTCATAATCTCATAACAGAAAATTCATAATCGCATAACAGAAAATTCATAATCTCACAACTGAAAATTCATAATCTCATAACAGAAAATTCATAATCTTATAACAGAAAATTCATAATCTCATGGTTCCAAAGTGAATGTGTAGGCATGGTTCCAAAGTGAATGTGCAGGCATGGATTCATAATTTATGAATGTCCGTGATTTCGGACGGGAATATGTAGGCATGGTTCCAAAGTGAATGTGCAGGCATGAATTCATAATTTATGAATGTCCGAAATTATGAATGTAATGAAAATTCATAATCTCATAACAGAAAATTCATAATCGCATAATAGAAAATTCATAATCTCATAACTAAAAATTCATAATCTCATAACAGAAAATTCATAATCTCATGGTTCCAAAGTGAATGTGTAGGCATGGTTCCAAAGTGAATGTGCAGACATGGATTCATAATTTATGAATGTCCGTGATTTTGGACGGGAATATGTAGGCATGCTTCCAAAGTGAATGTGCAGGCATGAATTCATAATTTATGAATGTCCGAAATCTTTGTTCACCTCAAATTAAAGTGAAACCGCAAAATGTGAAAATAAAGAAGAAAAGTCACGCAATTAATTAAGAAAAAAAAAAAAAAAAAAAAAAAGATAACGATGTACTAACACCGTTGGAACCGTGTTCACCATGAATGGTGAACACGGTTCCATGGCATAACGTCCCGCGTTGCACTATGCGCCCAGATGCAAAATAACGTCGTTTTAATTAATTTTTTTTTTTTGAAATTTCCCGCCCCAGTGAATGGCAGTAGTTTTTTCTTAAAAAAAAACCCGTTGTTCAAGAATGTACATAATGTTATACTAGAATACACATAATGTTATACATGAATGTACATAATTATATAACAAAATAGACATACTCTTTTTTAAAGATAATACACATAATCTAACATAATACATAATAAACATAAACTTTTAACATAATACACATCAACTCTTAACATAATACACACAAATTTTCTAATTCGGATGTACATAATTGTATGAAAAGAATGTACATAATTGTATAAAAAATACACATAACTATATGAACCAATACACATAACGTTGTGAACAAATACACATAACGTTGTGAACAAATACACATAATCTCAGCAACTTTCTATCGCGCCTCCCAACACTACCCCACAACGACGTCGTTTTGGGAGGCGCGCGACCCACAGTGTTATGTGCGCCGTGGTGTAGGATATAACGATTGCTATTCGGCTATTCCATTTACTTCCACAATCAAATGCCTTTTAGAAATAATTTGCTAAGCTCTGTCAACTATTGAATATAAATGTTAGATAATGTTACTTTCTTGAGATGATATCCAAAATGGTTGCTCTACAATGCTATAATTCTGATCTCAATTCGATAAACGATTACTAATATATTTAAAAGGAACAAGTGTGAAATAGGTTATCTAATTACGCAGTAAATTACAATTGGACTATCGAATTCAAAAAATTATAATTAGGTCTTTGAATAATGCAAAATAATGTAATTCAATAAAAAAATGACATGTTGACCTAGTAACATATGTTGACGTGACAGTTATCGAATTTTAAAATATTTTTAAATATTAATAAATTTAAATTAAATAATTAATTAAAAATTAAACAATTAAAAAAAATCACTCGCCTTCTCCGGTGAGAAGGTGAGGCTGCCTTCTCGAGTGAGAAGGCGACCTGGGGTTACCTCCTCACCGGAGAAGGTGACTGTTGCCTTCTCTGGTGAGAAGGTAACTCACTGGGTACCTTCTCAATGAAGAAGGCAACTTAGTTACCTTCTTTGGTGAGAAGGTAGCCTCGCCTTCTCCGAATGTGTTTAAAAAAATTAATTTTTAATTTAAATTTATTAAAATAAAATTTGAACGAAAATAGTTTAAAATTCGGTAACTGTCATGTCAGAATGTTACTAGGTCAACAGATCATTTTAGGTTGAATTGCATTATTTTGCATTGTTTAGGGCCCTAGTTGTAGTTTTTTTTTCTTCTTTTTTTTTGAATTTAATGACTTAATTGCAATTTGTTGTGTAGTTCGATGACCTATTTAACCCTTATTCCTATTTAAAATATTTCATTAATTATGTATAATTTATTCAATTTAATTCCAGGAATTGAAGGACTACATTAAATAAGTTTTATATAGTTGTGAGGCCATTTTTAATAAATAAATAGTTAATGATCCAATTGAGAAGTATAAAATAATCGACGAACATTTTAGATATTATCTGTATTTTTTAAAAATGTTTTATTTTTTTTTTATCAGAAAGAAGGGGATACCAACAGACGCTTGAGTTAAACTATAACATTCAATCTATCCTTTGGGAGTTAAGCCTTTTGGTAAACACAGCTCCAACCTGATCCTCTCTGATGATCTCCTGGAGCTCTAAAGGTGTTTCCTCAAGAATACGCAGGCCGACGTGATGGGCCAGAGCTAAAGATGCAGGCTATCAGGAACCCTTTTTTGTTCCCTGTATACGTGCTCGATCTCTACTTCGTTCATGGTCCCGATCTCGCTTATGCAAAGCCGGAGGACATTCATATACTGGTCATGACCATCTG